GTTCTTGAAATGTCCTGGGAGCTGAGAGCCTCAGGTTTAGGGCCTGGATCTGGCACCAACTCTCAGTGTAACCACAAGCAGTTCATCCCTTCCTGGGGCTCAGCTGACTTCACTAAAAAGGGAATATGAGTAAGGTGCCTCAGATGTGGAAGGAGGGGTCCTAATTACGGGACAGGGGCAGAAGTGGGTAGTGGCCTTGGCAAACAAATCCCCTATTTGTCCCCTTTAAGCAGGATCTCCCTACCAAGCAGTGTGTACTGGGGATGCCAGAGGCTGGGGCCTCGCATGGACACCCCCGTGGGCATTTGGCCAAAGGTAGCTATCTGCCAGAATCTGAGAGCTGTTCTCAGTCTTCCCTGGAGAGGGCTACTCGGGGCAGTCTGAGTCTCTAGGCAGACTGAGGTCCCTTGCTTCCCAAACGGGGAGAATTAGAGATTAGTGTTGGCTCCAAAGCACTGGAAGGGAGGAGTGAAAACCGCTCAGCACAGGGCTGGGCAAACAAGTTTAGGGTCCCGGGACAGGGAGCAAGGGAAGGCGACAGACATTGAGACCCAAGTGTCTGAGACTGGGGCCCAGGGATAGTACAGGCACCTCACACCGCATGGCCCTGGGTGAACAGCAGGAATCCCTTGTGGGTGGAGGGAAGCCGGGCTGCCTGTCCCTGCATCCTGAAGCTGGCCGACGGTTGTGGAGACTGAGGGGTGTTGAGGGAACTGTACGCCCAGGTCCTCAGCCTGGTAGGGTGGCTCAGGGCCTGGGCTGGTCCCCGGTGTCATGAGTCCCGGAAGGCGTTTTGGGGAATTGCGGGGAAGAAAGCGGGCTCGGGTGGAGGTGGCTCATCCCCGCACGGCCCTGCGCGTTCGCCCGCTGTTGGGGTCAGCAGTGACGGGCTGGGAGACCAAAGGCCTCAAGTTGGGCTGCGTAGGGGCACGTGGGCGGGGAAAGGGGTGGTAGATTACCCGTCTTGAGGGGCGGGACTGGAGACGAAAACCTGGGGAAGGACTCTACCAGGCTGGGGTCTTGCGTGCGGTGGAGGGCTCCCGGGGCCTGGCCAGGATGATGGAGCTCGAAGGACCGGAGTCAGGTTTGGGGTCCGTGAGGGTGAAGCTCAGAGGGTGGAACTGTGGGTCCAGGATTAGGGACCTGGGGCTGGGAAGTCCGAGGCTAGTGGAGACCCCGCCTGGTATCCGAGGTGAGCTCGCCCTATAGGAAGGGGGTCTCGTGGGCGGGGTCGGGAGCCAGAGAATTGTGAGAGGCGGGGCCAGGATGGCGAAGGCGACTGGAAAGGGGTCGCCACCTGTGCGGAGACCTCAATGCGGGGCGTGGTGCGGCAGGAGAACGGGAGCGAGGGGGCGGGGCTACGAGGAAGTGGACTTGGGAGGCTGGGTCTGGGGCCGGAGGATTGTGGGGAGCTGCGCATATACACCCGGGACGGTGGGGTTGCGTGGGGGAGGTGGGGTGGCAGTCGCGGTGGGGGCGGGGCCGAAAAGATCGAGGGCAGTGGGGACCCGGCCTTAGGAGGTGTCGGGAAGGAGGGCCGGGGGCGCGCGGGCGCAGGTCCCGGGGCGCGGCGGGGCGCGGGTGGGGGCGGGGGCGGGCTCTGGAGCGGGGCGGGCCCAGGTGAGCGAGGTCTCCGCCCGCCGCCCCTCCCGCCGCCCTGGTGCCGGCCGCTCCGCGGGCCCCTCCCTGTCCCCGGCGGGGGCTCAGCGGGCCGGGCCGACGGCGGCGGGCGGCGTCTCGGGCCCAGGCCAGGTCGGCTCCGGCTCCATCTTGGGCCGCGGCGCCGGGCACCTGTGGCGGCCGCAGGAGCAGTGCTTCTCTCGGCCTGCGCAGCCGGGGCGGGCGAGAGGGTGAGAGGCCGGCTCCGCGCACACCCGTGGGGGCGGGGGGCGTGGTGGGCGGACCTCCCCCTTGCGGAGCCCCAGAACCCACTCCTCCCCGCTGCCTGAGCTCGGACCCCGGACATCCCGGCCCCTGCCCAGCGCCGGGCGCCCCCGGTGGCCGCACCGCACTCCCGGCGCTCCGCCTCTCATTGTCCTGTCCTGTGCTGTCCCCTCTTCTACGTCTCCTCTGCCCATCCTCCCATTTTTCACGAGTCTGTCTGGGACCCTGTCTCCTTCGGCCTCCACGCCTCCTGCCATCGCTCCTCCTCCTCTTCTCCCTCTTCCCTCCCTCAGCCTCCTGCGCCGCCTACCCCGCCCCCAGCCTCGCTGCCCTTTGGCTCCTCCTGCCCCGCATCCTTATCCCGGCCCTCAGCCCCATCTGCCTGCAGTGGCTGCCTTTGCTCCCGAGAAGGTCTGTAGCCTCGTTTCGGGGCCGTATTGAGGCCCCTTCTCCCTAAGTCCGGGTGGGCTTTGTGCAGGAGGGGCGGGAAGGGAGCTGTGCTGGGCGAGGCTGCGTGGTGCGGTGCGGTGTCTTCAGGCCTTTGGCCCCGCAGCAGGGGCGGCCTGTGCTTGGTGTGCAGAGTGCAGTTGTGTAGATGCTGGTACTGCAAAGGGGCCTGTGTGTCCCAGGCTGGGGAGTGAGTGCTTGTGAGCGTGCAGTTAGGGACACACCGGCCGCCTAGGCTGCTGCTAGGCTGGGGAACCTTCTCCACCTAGGTGCCCCCAGGGAGTGTGGGTAGATCCTGCCCAGAGGAGGAAGCTCAGGGGGCTGGTGGGCGCTTAGGCCTCTTTCTGGTGAGTAGAGCCGCATCCATGGGGCCACTGACCCCCACGGTTACCCCAGAACCCTTTCCTGGCACAGCATGTGACCAGGGGCATGTAGCCCTTAAGGCACGTTTATTGTGAAGGATAGATTTTTGTCTCTTCTAAACCCTCTCTTCAGGAGTGCTCCCTGCTGCGCTGCCCACAGTTGGCCCTGAGTGTTCCTATCAGGCCCGGTTCACTCTGGGGTGGATTAAACTACCTCCTGGATGTTGCCCTCTATCCCCACTGTGCAATGGGGGATTTGTGCTGTGTGCATTTCTGTCTGGTCTCTGAGAGGTAAGGTCCGTATTTTAACATAGAACCAGTTTTTCCGCCTGACCATATATGTTTACTTTTCCTGTTTTGGTTTTGCTGGACACATAAGTCATCATCCAAATGCCTGCCACTTAACAAGAGGGGACTTGGATTGGGCGTGGTGGCTCACGCCTATAATCCCAGAGTTTAGGAGGCTGAGGCAGGTGGATCACCTGAGGTCAGTAGTTCGAGACCAGACTGGCCAACATGGCAAAAAACCCTGTCTCTACTAAAAAATACAAAAATTTGCTGGCTGCAGTGGTGCACGCCTGTAATCTCGGCTGCTCTGGAGGCTGAGACAGGATAATCGCTTGAACCCCAGAGTTGGAGGTTGCAGTGAGCTGAGATCGTGACATTGCACTCCAGCCTGGGCAACGAGCAAAACTCCATCTCAAAAACAAACAAACAAAACCTAGGGGGGCTTAGGTAGATGTCACAGTGTAGTCTGAGATGGAACCACCTGTGGTGGTCTTGGTAGTCCCCTAGGCACATACCAAAGGCCTGAGCTCCTCTGCTTCGGCAGCATGGTGGGAGTGGGACTCTAAGTTGACTCCATGGTCTCTGTGTTTGAGCTGGGCTGGAAGTGCCTGAGAACTGGGGGCTTTTACTCAGAATGACATTGGTTGATTGCTGCATATGAGGCTGGTTGATCTTCCAGTTGCTGACAGGCAGAACCTGAGGCAGCAGGACAGCCTGGCACTGGCCACAGGACATTGGCCACAGCCATCGCAACTTCGGCATTAAATGGGGCTGGAGAGAGAATGTTAAGGTAGCGTTCAAAGAACACTACAGGTCTTGGATACCTCTGTATGCCTGTTCTTTATCTCATCTTAAAAAATCTTCCCAGAGTCCCATTAGGGCGAAATCAGACCTTTTGCATGGTTATAAAGGCAAGGTGTGCAAAGGATGTGGCATGTGCCTGGCACTTGGCGAGTGATCAGCCCTGGCAGCTGTTATTATCGTCGCTGTTACCGGCTTTATTGCCCTCCTTTGTACGTTCATCTTAGAGCTCCTTGAGGGCAGAACCTGGGTCAGAGCCCTCTCTTGGCTACTTCCCCTCTTCCTTACCCTCTCAGGGACAAGTCTAACTTCAGCCCCATGAAGCAGCTGGGATGGGACATCATTACCAGGCTGCAGCTGTGTTCAGAGCAGCACGGTTCAATAGGGTAACCATTAGCCTCATGTGGCCAGTTAGATTCAAATAAAACTTCAATGTTGCTACTCGGGAGGCTGAGGCAGGAGAATTGCCTGAACCCAGGAGGCGGAGGTTGCGGTGAGCCGAGATCGTGCCATTGCACTCCAGCCTGGGTAACAAGAGCGAAACTCCGTCTCAAAAAAAAAAAAAGAAAACTTCAATGTTCAGTTTCTCAGTTGCCGTAGCCCCCTGCCAAGTGCTTGGGACCCACATGGCATTGGTGCCTACCCAATGGACAGCACAGGGTAGAACCTTTCCATCATCACAGGAAGTTGTGCAGAGCTGGAGTCTCAGGGACTACAGCACCAGTATCATCCTCATGTGGCTCAACAGCCATCAGCTGTCTCCTGAGTGCTGGGCCGGCAAGACATCTGTAATTACACAGAAACCGAGTCCCACAGCCCCTCCTGAATTTCCTCTCGGGTAGCCTTGCTCACCTGGCTGGGAAGCTTGTTTCCTGGCAGTCCTTATCAGCCTGGGGTGGGAGGGCAGGTCTGGGATTGCCCAAATGCAGCTCTCGACTCCTGTCCCCACCCTGTTTCTCCAGCTGGTCCTGCCTGGCAAGGAATCCCAGAGTGATCTTCCTAATTCACTGCTGTGGCCAGGGCTGAGGTGGCCCAGACACTGACCCCACTGCTTCCCTCGTGTGCTCTGCACACATAGCCTCTCTCCTCCTGCCCACCCTGCTCTCCACCTGAACACCTTGCTTCTCTCACTCCAGGCCCAACTTACGTGACTGGTCCTCCAGGAAGCGTTTTCTCATCTCTCACCCTAAGTGAGCTCTCCTGCCCTGGCAGTGCCCACCCACAAATTCCATTTTTGGCACTCAGCACCCTCCTCTGTGGGTACGTTCTTGTATTTGCTTGTTTTCTTGGTCAGGCACACAGCAGATATTCTCTGAGTGCCAACTACACGTCAGATCAATGCTGGGTTTTGGACAGCCGGAGGGGAGCAGACCGCAGGCCAGGCTTTGCCAACTTCAGACTGGTGGGGAGGCTGACAGTTGGCCAGACTGATCCATCCAGGCCTGATGCTCAGCCAGGGACGAAGGCTGCCTGGCTGGAGGGTCAGGAAAGAAATGCTGAGGTGGAAAGGGCCAGAGCTGACTCTAGGCTGCAGCTGGGTCAGGGGCCAAGTCCAGAGTGGTCTTTGTGGCTGGGGGAAGTGACAGCAATGGCAGGGAGGGTGGGAAACAATGAGGGTGCAGGTACACTGGGCAAGTGGGGGTTAAACATCATGTGTGGTGGGTCTGATCGGTGGGCTAGACATCATGTATGGGTGGGCATCTTATCTCACTGCTGCAGTGTCCCCAGGGGTACAGAAAGGTCTGAATGAATCCCATGTTCTCCAGCCCCAGAACTGGGCAGGCAGTAGGGCCTCAGAAGATGGCTGTGGAATCAATGACCAGATGCTGAGTGAGTCCCTCGTGGAAAAAGCTGATGTGTGGGCCTCTCCCTGCCCCTGGAGCTAGAGGTGGGAGTCAGGGAAACCTAGAGACATGCCAGCTCAGCCAGGCTAGGCGAGGGAAGATGGGGGTGGTTGGGGGGAGGCCAGGGAGGATGGGGGTGGTTGGGGGGAGGCCAGGGAGGATGGGGGTGGTTGGGGGGAGGCCAGGGAGGATGAGGGTGGTTGGGGGGAGGCCAGGGAGGATGGGGGTGGTTGGGGGGAGGCCAGGGAGGATGAGGGTGGTTGGGGGGAGGCCAGGGAGGATGGGGGTGGTTGGGGGGAGGCCAGGGAGGATGGGGGTGGTTGGGGGGAGGCCAGGGAGGATGGGGGTGGTTGGGGGGAGGCCAGGGAGGATGGGGGTGGTTGGGGGAAGGCCAGGGAGGATGGGGGTGGTTGGGGGGAGGCCAGGGAGGATGGGGGTGGTTGGGGGGAGGCCAGGGTGATTCTCAGTCATCTAGCCCTCTAGTCATCACTCCCTCATCCCCTGAACTTTCTCTGAGCTCCCACTCTGTACCACGAGGCCCCGTCCACAGTGAGTTGATGCCAGTCCCAGGAGGAAGTAGCCTAGTGTTGGCTTGTCCAGCTGTGTCGGTTGAGGCCGTAGTGCTTCCATGCTGGTTTACCAAGATCCGTCGTCCCACAGACCCGCCCCCAGTGTTGCAGTTCCATCCCCAAAGCCCCAGCAGATTTGGCCCTCCCCCCTCCCTCCCACACAAGCCAGCCAGTGAAGAGTCAAGAGCTGACATGGTGGCGGCCTCCGGGACCCCACCCTAAGGCAGATTCCAATTGTTTGGGACTGATGATGAGATAATTTGCAGTGTCATCCCTGTGTCTAATGTGGATGACCTTGATTCGAAGTGTCTGGTGTCTTGTCACCACCTTGCATACGGTTCTGACCAGTCAGGCAGGCTGGGACTGAAGCTGTCTCCCCAGTGAAGACACTGTGGGAGCTCACAGTAGAATCAGCTTAGGTGCTGCCACCCAACTCAACTTCACTCCTTCCCTTTCTCTCCCCTGCAGGCAGCCATGAACTCCAGCCACCCGGAGCCGGGTCCCCAGGCACCCCTGAGCCCCCGCCTTCAGCCCCTGTCCCAGAGCTCTTCCAGCCTGCTGGGTGAAGGCCGGGGACAGAGGCCAGAGCTCTGCAAGAGGGCCAGCAGCACCGTGTGGCAGGCCCAGCTGGGCGAGGCCAGCGCCAGATCCCGGGCCCCGGAGGAAGAGGGGGACCAGCCTGAGAGTATGGAGCCGGCACGGGCCTCTGGCCCTGAGGCACGACCCAGTGCTGGAGGCCACTGGCGGAGCAGCACTGTGGGCAATGTGTCCACCATGGGTGGTGGTGACCTGTGTCGCCTGCGGGCCCCCAGCGCAGCCTCTATGCAGAGGAGCCACTCGGACCTGGTTCGTAGCACCCAGATGCGGGGACACAGTGGTGCCCGGAAGGCCAGTCTCAGCTGCTCAGCCCTTGGCAGCTCCCCCATCCACAGGGCTCAGCTGCAGTCAGGTGGTACTTCTGGCCAGGGTGGCCAGGCCCCTGCAGGCCTGGCAAGAGACCTGGCTCCTGAGGATGGGACTTCTAACTCAGCCCGGATGCTGGGGGCAAGTCAGTTGTCGGTGCCACCGCTAGACCTGGGGGACACAACTGCCCACAGCAGCAGTGCCCAGGCTGACTCCAAAGCCCCCAAACAGCCAGCTACCACCACCTGCCATGCTCTGCCCCCAGCTGCTCTACTCTGTGACATGAGGGAGGCAGGGGCTGGTGGCTGCTGCCATGCTCTGCATGCCACAGGGATCCTGGCCTTTCCCAAACTAGTGGCATCAGTGAGCGAGTCTGGGCTGCAGGCTCAGCATGGGGTGAAGATCCACTGTAGGTTGTCTGGAGGGCTCCCTGGGCACTCCCATTGCTGTGCCCACCCTTGGGGTCCCACCAGCTTAGCCCCAGAGCCTGGCTCTAGGACCAAAGATGTGTGGACCATGACCTCAGCCAGTGACTTGGCCCCTGCAGAGGCATCCCCACTGTCAGCCCAAGATGCAGGTGTGCAGGTGGCCCCCGTGGCGACCTGCAAGGCTGTGGCCACCAGTCCATCCCTGGAAGCACCTGTGGCCCTGCATGTGTTCCCAGAGGTAACTCTGGGGTCCAGCCTGGAGGAGGCATCGTCCCCTGTGCGGGATGTGCGATGGGATGCTGAGGGCATGACATGGGAGGTGTACGGAGCTGCAGTGGACCCGGAGGTGCTCGGCGTGGCCATCCAGAAGCACCTCGAGATGCAGTTTGAGCAGCTGCAGCGGGCACCCACCAGCGAAGACAGCCTGTCTGTGGAAGGCCGGAGGGGGCCGCTGCGGGCTGTCATGCAGTCCCTGCGGCGCCCCAGCTGCTGTGGCTGCTCCAGTGCGGTCCCCGAGTGAGGAGCTGCGGCCCCCGAGTGAGGAGCTGCGGCCCCCGGAGCAGGCCTGGGCCCATGGACTTGGTCTTAGACCTGGGCCAGGGACGGTGGGGGCTCATGCTCCCTGCAACCACCGGCAGCTGGGCACGTCTGTCACCTGAACATCGGCTGCTTCCAGACCACAGGACTGCAGCCTGGGCTTCCTGCTCCATGCAGCTGGGCTGTTTTCTTAAGGGCTTGATTTTCAAGGGCCACATCTCTGCACCTTCTGGGCTCTGAACTTTGAGACAGGGATTCAGCACCATGCATAGGGGAGATCCTGAGTTTTCCATAAAAGACCTTTTGTTCACTCCACCTTCAGAACTCTGCTGTGTTTCCTCCTCAGACTCTTGGTGGCTTTATTTTAAGGCAGTGCTGAGAAGTAGTGAATTCTCGACATGAGGTGTGAGGCCACGGTGAGAGGGATTGCCGGAGTTTTTAGGGAAGGCGACTGTTGTAACCAGAGGCCCCCTGTGTGCTGCATACTGTGCTTGTTGAGTCTTCACCTCGTCACCTTGGTTTACAGATGAAACCACAGGCATTTGGCAAGGCTGTAGCCGATGTCCCCCACCCTGGACAGCTGGAAGAGGTGGGACTAAGGTTCAAAGCCAGGGCTGGCTGAGCCTGGGAGATTTCCCTGTAACATGCTCCCAGTCCAGTTCAGTGCAGTTATGTACAAGAAGAATTTACTGAGCGCATCCTCTGTGCCGGGTTCTGTGTTTCTGTGGTGAATGAGCCAGAGGCTGCCCCTGCCCTGGATGAGCTCATGGTGTGGGCTGGGGATGGCAGGGGAGGATGCTGACCATTGCGGAGGGCTACCAGGCATCTGGGGTCATTGTGCCAGAGGCTGGCCTGAGGAAGGGGAGAGTGGGCGGCCACTTGCCCTCAAATAAGTTGCAAAGCCTAAAATTGTACTATTTCACCGCATTCCATTGGCTTAAGGATTTCTTCCTAGCTGGTGCAGTTCGTGGAAGGAGGGAGGGCAGGAATGGAGGGGGACAGGGAGGGAGCTTTACCCTGGGCCCTGGAGTAGGGGCTGTGAGGCTGTGGGGGCTCCCTTGCCCACATAACCTGACCTAGGCTAGGCAGTAGGGGCCAGGGGACTTGGGGAGACAGAAACACAGGGGTTTGGCACGTCTGACTTCATTGCCCAAAGATTTCTCAAGGCCTGTGAAGAATGGGAGTGGGTTTGTGTTCTTATCCTGGGTCTTGGTGTTGAGGACTCCAAGCTCCTGGGACATAGTCCCCCAATCTACCCTTGTGAGGGGCCAAAGGGCTACTGTGGGGTCGTGGCCCATGATCTGGCCTGTGCCTGGGGCCTCTTCTGTACTTAGGAGCCCAGGACTCTCAAACTGGCTCAGCTTTCCCCATCTTCAAGGACCTGGTACTCATTGAGGTGGAAATGATTTGTGCAACGGTGGGTCAATTTGTAAAGCAGAAGTGGCATTTCAACAGGCCACAAGGATAAAGTGAGAAAGGCGTGCTTCAGGTCAGATGCCTCCTGAAGCCCCACGATGGACCATTCTCACCTGTAAATGTGCCTTGCTCTTATGCACAGGTATACCTCTTCTTGGGATTCTGGGCCTGTCGGTTCCTTTGTGTATGGTGCCAGGGCAGGCAGCTCACGTTCTGGGAGTGACACGTGGTATATGCCATCTTCATGCCTGGCCCTGCGTCGGGTCTTCAGGAATCATAACCTGTTGGGGCCACATGGGAGAGAACAAATGACTCTGGGTACATGGGGAGGGACCCTTCACACAGGGCCACAGCTAAGGAGGGTCTTGAGGATAAAGGAGTTAGATGGGTGGGTGGAGGGAGGGCAGGACCTGCCAGCAAGATGGAGCAGCCTGGCCAGCATTTGGATATGCTTGTCCTGCCTGGACCATGATGAGTTTCTGCAGTGGCAGCTCATTTGGGGTGTTTGTTGGGTTGGGAGGTGGCCAGCGGTCCCCATTGTGAAGATCCTGGTGTAACTGAGGAAAGGAATTTCAGGGGAACTGTGGAAGGGGTGTGGGGTGGGGGGGACCAGATTTCAGTTTAGAAATATCCATTTGGCTGCCAGTGGAGAAGAGCAGGGTGCAGAAGAGGTGGGAGGCAGGAGCCCAGGAGGCTGTGCCAGGGGATTCCAAGGAGGGGCCTGTTCAGGGGCAATGGAATGGGCAGCTGGGGGCCGGGTTCATACATGTGCACACTCATGTATACACAGGCACACGTGTGTGTAGTGGATTTAGGAAGGAGGAGGCATTTCAGGAGACTGAAGTTTTCAGTTTGAGCAAGAGGAGGGTAAGACTGCTACCTGGGACAAGGTGAGTGGCAGGTTCAGCAAGGGCAGAAGGGGTCACATGCCACAGGGTTTGGCTGGGACTAGTGAAACCCACTTCATGAAGAGACTTTCTCCTCTGTCACATGCAGATTCTCATGCGTTCATGCTGACTGGGTGCCACTCTGTGCTACCTCCATGCTGCCCTGGCTCGCCAAGATAGCAGGCCGGGCTCAGCCCAGCCAAGCTCCCACTCACCTCATCATCGCTGAGATGAATGTTTGCAGGGTGGTGCTGGAATCCAGACCTGTGTCTCGGCTGGGATCCCAGACCGCTCTCCTGGCTAAACCACAATCCCGGTCTTCCTAGCCCAGCTGCACCTGTAGCTGCTGCTGCTGAGTCTACTTAGGGTGACTGCAGCCTCAGTTCTGACGGGAACTAGAGACCCCTTTCAACTCCCCTAGCTGTGCCTTCTCCTGGGACAGGCCTGATGCCCGCAGTGGTTTAGGGCCCCAGAGCACAGCCAGTAGTTTAGTTTACAGATCTCCTCCCCCTGGACTCTAGATTTCTGGCGAGACTTTCTGGGTCCCTCTCAGGCCCCGCTCTGGGAGGTGTTGGAGTTTACTGATGATGTGTTTGTTTGGTTTTGAATTCAAAATAGATAGAAATTTGGAGATCAGAGCTTTGCCAGGCCCCAGCAGGGACGGGGCATCGGTCCTGGCTGGTCTTGTTTATTTGGTCCTGGTAAATTCTGTTCTTTGGAGCATAAACCCCAGAGTCCTAGAGCCCCTTGCCTCAGCATGAATCCCACCTCTGTCTTCTCCAGGGGCTCCCCGCTTCTCCCCACCTGCTATCCTTCTCTGGCAGTCAGGACCCCCGGCAGCTGAAGCCTGGCTTCCTGGAGCTTGTCTCCTCTGGGCATGTCTGTCTTGTGACCAGGACACAAGACGTGCATTCCTTGTCTGGCCCCAGGCGCCATGATTCTCACAAGAAACTGGTAGAGCTGGCCTGAGGTCACAGTACTGGTGGTGGTGAAAAGCAGGGATTGCCTGTTTCACTGTGACGTTACCTCCTGTGTCACCTGGATGAGGTCTCTGTTCCCCTAGACATGTTAAATCCTACCTAAGTTTACAAGGGCTGAAGGGGTCTTCTACATGCAGGTCCTAATACATTGGGCTGGGGTTGGCCACTGTAGCTTAGTGGGCTAAAGCTGGAGTTTGAATCTGGATCCACACCTATAGCCACGTGATCTTGAACAAGTTACAAGCCTTGATGATCTTCCTCATCTGTAAGATGGGGATGACAATGGTACCTCCTTCACAGGCTTGGTGTGGAGATTAAATAGAGTAACCCATGTAATGCCTGGCACTGAGTTAGTGCTCAGCACACACCGTACTGGTGTTGGGCACCCCTCTCATAGCCACATTCAGGGGCCAGCTCTTACCCTGCCAGCTTGGCTGCCATCACAGCCCACATCCAACTTCTTTAAACGTCCCTCATTCAGAACCTCTGAATTTCCAGGTTCATCACCCACAGCTTTACACCCTGCCCGGGCCTGTGTCCTCTGGCTGTGGCCTCTGAAAATATAGTTCCCCGAGTGCATTGAGGAGGAGGGCTACCCCATCCCTCACCACTCATCTTGGGTTGGGTTCTCCAGAAGGTCCTGCTCAGATGAGGATGCTGGAGTTATTAGGGAGGGGAGAGCAAATTAGGAGGACAGAAGGCAAGGCAGGGTATGATCTCAGTCAAGCCAGACTGTGAAGGGGAGCCCTGGGTGCAATCTCACCTCCGAGTAAGGACCACCCAGGGGTGGATGGAGGCTCTAGGCACTTCTTCTCTCTGGCACGCAGGCTAGGAAGCTCTAAGGGTGCCAGGATAGGTCTCTGCATGGAGTTGTAGGACCTATTTTGGGGGAAGTTGTACACAGAAACCGCCAGGGGGAGTCACAGCCATCTGGGGTGCACCCATCAATATGTGCATCCATGTCATGCCGAGCTTGTGGCCCACAAATGCCCAGATCTTTTCTCCATGCATTTCTTTGTCTCAGTTTTGTTCATGCCAAGCAGCCTTGGTTAGTTAAATGCAGAGCTTGGCATTTGCCCTGTTCAATTCCTTCTCCTTTTTCATTCTGGCCAGCCCAGTTTTGCCATCTGAAGCTATGACTAGTCCTTTATCCGTTTTCATCCAACTTGTCAGGCAGGGCAGGGCTGGTATGGAGCCCAGGACATATCACTGGGACATCCCGTAGGTCTGAGTTTCCCAGGTCCCTCCAAATCCACGCCGTCATCCTGGGCAAATTAGTTTAAGTCTGATCTGTTATGATCTAGATCTCACTCCAGCAGCACCCATCCCTCCTTCCCAAGGCCACGGAAGGAGGGTAGCATAGCCTGACCCGTGTCCTTGTTCTCAGCAAGACTGGTTCTGTAGTGGCCACTTTGCTTTCTCAACTCTTACTTACTTCTGTTTAGCAGGCTGATCTGCAAGTCTGAGAGCAACAGCAAGCTTAGAAGTATGGATTCAGCCAGGCACAGTGCCTCACGCCTGTAATCCCAGCACTTTGGGAGGCCAAGGTGGGCTGATTGCTTGAGCTCAGGAGTTCAAGACCAGCCTGGGCAACATGGCAAAACCGTCTCTACAAAAAATACAAAAATTAGCCAGGCATGGTGGTGTGCCTCTGTAGCCTCAAGCTACTTGGTGGGTTGAGGTGGGAGGATTGCTTGAGCCTAGGAGGCGGAGGTTGCAGTGAGCCAAGACAGTGCCACTGTGCTCCAGCCTGGGTGACAGAGCCAGACCCTGTCTCAAAAAAAGAAAAAGACAAGAAAGAAGTGTGGACTCTACCTTCTTGTCCTTGTGGAAATTGGGAACCACCCGCCCTTGGCTTTCCCCATTCATCTTGTATTAGGAAAGGCTGTTTCCAGCACACCTGGCTCCTCTGCACGTTTTCTGGGAGGTGACTGAGAGTCAAGAGAATGGGGCCCTTTTGCAGCCGGCCACTGGTACCTTCCCCACTGAGCCCTTCTTTAGGTTTTCTCACTCTTTTGATGGGTATCTTTCC